ATGCACGTTTTGAGTGGACACTTGCAGCTGAAACTTAATGAAGAGGTCACGACCCTAAACGGCATCAGAAAACGATTCTCACAAATTGGTTGTTAGGGGTTGTTGTTCATCACAGCGGTGAGCTGAAACACCAATTGGCGTGTTTTAACCGCTCGTACTGTGACAATTTAATTTTTGTGGCGATAATCAGGTGGCAGAAGGTTTTAAATCACAATTTGAGCAGATAATTAAGTAGCTCAGCACAAAGATCAATTATGAATCGAGGCGTGAATGCATGGCCTGGAGGAACACGTGTGGCAATATCGAGTGCTGAATGGGTGCTTGCGAGCGTTTCTCTCATCGTAAGCAGCTGCGATCAATTTTTATTTCGCGTTTTAATGACATTGTGGTTATACATATTCTCTATTGCCCATCCCCTTTCTCTTCCCTGCCCTCGCCCCTCCACTCCTTCCTGGCTCTCCCCTGCCCTTCCGTGACCCCTAAGTGCCCTGTGTTGTGGTCACTCGCTCATTGGCCCTTGCACGCCCCTGCCGCCTAAATCACTCTATTTGTGTTACGTTTTTTTAAACTTTGCCTTGAGATTATGCGCTCTATAAGGTTTGAACATCCCGGAACCCTTGAACAGGGCAGATTGGGGAAACAAAAATATATTTAAACCTGACAGCTGTGGAATATCTGACAAGGTGGCCGCAATCATGACTTCTGGCGGGGGCACGTCTTCGACAAGAGCGCCCTGGAGAAGCTGTCGATAGATCAGGGGGGTGGCGGGCACTTGGAATCTCTCGCGTTGCCACAGCTTCTTCTGGATGTTGCTAATGCGTGGGCATAAAGCATGCCCCCCCCCCCCCCCTAATGCGTGGGCATAAAACATGTTTAAAGCTTTCGTGACTGCAGGGATTCATATTCTTGGTTCTTTCGGTAAAGTCACGTAGAAGGGAAACAATAAAATAATACAATTTTTTTTATTTTTATTATTTTATTGTTTCCCTTCTACGTAACTTTACCGAAAGAACCAAGAATATAAAATATTTTTTTATGAAAACAAAAATGTTACCTCAACAAATGATTGTTCAATAGCGTGTCACTATGTACGAATCCAAAAGAGATTCAGGTAATAATCAAGCTATGCTTTAAATTGATGCGATGTGTCCGTTTAGCCCTGCCTGCTGAACGGTATCGTGCTTCTGGTCTCGTTACCACCGTCATAAATCAACACACGGCACTCCTGGGGCCGCTGAAGTTGCGAGTTCTGCCCGGTGGGATGGCAAAAGATGTTGGGAAAATCTGTCTTCAAGGCATGAAAATAATAACACACGTTATAAAAAGACACCCATATTATCATGATTCCCCCTGGAATGTTAACCTATTGATTGTTAGATGATACTCTTTGGTTTTATTCGGTAAAGTCACGTAGATAAAAGAAAACAAAATAAAAGAAAACAATTAAATCACGACGTTTCGGAGGCAACACAAGCTTAATGAAAATGTTGATATAAGTTATCAAAAACAGTAATTCTTTAAAAAAAACTCACTAATTGGCTTTGTCGGGTGGTGGTGTGTTCACGACACATTTAAATTCACGCGATCTAACCCAAAAAACGTATTGTAAACAATATTGATCGCAAAAGCCCACGTGTGAAAACAACCGTTGTTGGATCACAACTGGAAAAGACAGCAGAATATGCATGCCGAGAGTAGCGATTGAGCATGTTGGGGTGCTTTTCGAAAACTGCATTTGTGATCGTGAACACAGCCTGCAGCAGCGGTCAATTGAGTGAAGGTTACCTGCGATGACTTGGGTCAGCACCAAGGACACTTCGAAAGAATTGGGAGCTAAAGCTGAAGAATGATCGTTGAGTGATGCATGCTGGGAATTACACGTGATGTAAACAAAAAGGAACGCGGGGTCAGGAAAAGGCCAATGAGAAACGCCTCATGGAATGGGAAGGAGAGGAAGTGGACCGGACACATCACGAGGCAGAGGTGGACGAGACTGGTGATGGAATGGCAGCCAAAGGAGAGGACGACCCAGCGTGAGAGGTGGAGAGAATCTCTCCAATCGATTCAGATGAGACCGTTCTTGAGGAGATGGATTGTGTCACTGCAGGATTGTGAGGGCTGGCTGGCACTTTGGGTGGGGAAGGCTTCATCCAGCAGTTGACAGATAATATAATGAGCACGGCGATGTATGCTTTGATATATTGGCGGATCTACGGGTGGGGGGATGAGGGCGTTCTTGAGATGCTGAATATTTGGTATTGATATTTACATAGAAAATGTAAGTGTATTATTAATATAGGGCCCTATTTAAATTATTTAATTTGGGGGTCGCCCCCCTTTCCTACCTCCAACTTGGGAAGCTCACAGATCACGTTCAATAATTTAAAATGTATAAATATATGTAATGTTCAACTTATTCAAAGTTTTTTTTGCTAAGAGCGTGCGGTTCCTTGCTTTAGAGCCACGGAACGTTCATCTGAATTCCGATCATTGCTGCGCTGCAAAAAAAAACGTTGCCCATTATCCCATAATGTTGTTGAATTGCAATGGAAACTATGGAGCGCTGGAAAAATTCCACCACACTGGGCGGGGGTGTGTGGAGGTGGGGGAATGGAAAACGTGCGGGCAACTTATCGACATTTCCACGAGATGTTTAAATACAACCGAAACACCACACGAATGAGCACCCCTCTCACTTTATCATGGGTTCAACCACAGCACACCTGCTCGGCGGTGGTGGCGGCGGTGGTGGCGAGCGGTGCAGAATAAGCCTTGGTAGCGCCGCGCGTGAAAGGAGTCGTGGGCGCGCTGCTGCTGGCACGCGGACTCGCATCAGCTGCCGTTGTTCTCACTTCGCCGTCGGCTCCGCCAACGGTGAGAGGCTCGCCACTTCCCCCGTTCACCCCCTCGTGACGCCGACCGTCGTCAACGCAGCCGTTTGTTGTCGTCGTTGTGTTCTGCTGAGCGTGTTCGGCGATTACAGGTAGCAGGTGAGCTTCGTGTTGTCGCGGTATTTGCTCGCTCTTTGCTAAGCTATACATTTTGCCGACACCAATCCTGTACCGCATTTCACACACTCAGATTTGGTGGTAATCATGTAATGCTGAAAAAACCCTTGAGCAAAGTGGAAAACATGCTTTAACAACGCAGGATTCCGACAAATCGTGAAACGATGTGGATTACTGTCCCAAACACACCGGTTATTCAGAAGTACTAATAGCTAGACACGTTTGCTCATCAGCGTGACAACTTTATTTTAATTGGCTGCGACGATATTACCCAAACGTCAATTAGGAATCGGTAAAGATTCACTGGCAGCGAGATAGCGCTCCCGTTGGAGGTGTGTGTGTGTGTTTCGCTGTGCCACAGGATGTGCTGCCGTACGTTTGGCAACACATTGCAGCAAAATGTCTCCAAAGACTCAGTCCACAAAATACCAGCCTCAATTTCTCCTCGAATTAGATTAATTTCATGACATTTCTTTTTTATATATATAATATTTTAAACGATATCACGCATTATGGTTTTTTTTTTGCACTGGGCAGGTCCCTACCGTGTTACTGCAGCTTCCTCTCTGTAACATCTGGCGGTCGGGTGGTATTATTTTGTTCAATGAGCCAGGTTTTTGTTGATAACACCCAGGTGGGGTAGAAACTTGTCCAACATGTGTGTACCTTAATGCCGCTGGATAATCACTGCAGTCCTGAAGGCTGATCGGCTGATGGACCAAACAAATGCTGATGTACAAGAGCAATGAGCAGTTCAAACTAGATTCGAAGCTTTCGTGACAGCAGGAATTACTATTTGGTTCTTTCGGTAAAGTCACGTAGAAAGAAATTAAATTATATAACAATAGAATACGACGTTTCGATTGCAACACAAGCAGCCACCATCAGGTACAAATGAATGAGAAAATAAACATAGTAAACTTGGAAATATAATGCAATCTTTGGAAGAACGTAATCAACCAGGCTATGCGTTAACTGTGTGCTAACCGACTCTCTGTGTTGTATTGCATTACACTGCTTAATTTTACTAAATTTGTTTTCTACCGTGCTTGTTTATGGGTCCATTCTCTCCTCCGGCCGCTATGGGGGCAGGAATTTCACACAACGCTCCGTGTGTATTTGTTTAGATGTCCAGTGTCCAGCTCGTCCGTCCCCTATGGGCAGGAATTCCACACAACTCCCCCTCTGTCGACCTCCTTCTCTCTATTTAAGCCCTCGACACAGAGACGTCTTTCTGTTTGTCTCTGTGTGAGTCTCTCTCTGCTTGTGTGTCTGCCTGTGTGACTCCGTGTCTATGTTTTGTCTCTCTCTCAAATTTAGCAATCTTTGGTAGAACGTAATCAACCAGGTGGGGTGTTCACTGTTTTGTTGGCCGACTCTCTGTGTTGAATTGCATTATATTTCCAAGTATACTAGGTTTGTTTTCTTATTAATTTGTACCTGATGATGGTTGCTTGTGTTGCAATCGAAAACGTCGTATTCTATTATTATTTTACTTAATTTCTTTCTACGTGACTTTACCGAAAGAACCAAAGAGCAATGAGCAGTTGTTTATTCAAGTCTATAGTTGTACCTTCCCTGGAAATCCACATGTTATCACAACCACCGATGTTGATGCCAGCACACCTGTCCGTTCCATGGCCAGTGTCCAGCCAGCAGGATAAATCGATGCGCCACAGTGAGTCAATCAATGGGTCGCGTGAGAAGATGTAAAGTGTGGGTACTCTTGGCTTATTTTTACAAAATGTCTGGCCATAGTGGAAGAGTATGCCAAATACCCTCTGGAGAAGATCTATTGAGATCCCCCTAATGGAGAACAGTTTACCAGCAGTGGCGATAGCAAGTAGTATCGGCGCTGCGCCTTTACCTTACATGTCCACTGTTGTAAACTAGACACCGTTGTTTTTGGAGTGTGTGAAAGTGCGTCCATATATTAATTAATAAAAGATCAAACTGTCATGTTGATTTTAACAAAATGACTTTATTTATTTTCAGATTCATGAACAAAAATGCTTTTCCTGGGATATTCAATTGTGGCATTCATGGTATTTTCACACGGTAAGTGGTGCTGTCATGTTTACGACTCAAGTTGGATAGTAGTCAGTGAAGCGAGTTGATGGTCTCAGGCTGGTCATCAATGACCAGCGCATTCAATTAGACACTGCACTTAATTTGGTAAAATTCCACCTGAGAATTCAAATCGTGGCTTGACAGCCATGGCGCGAATCTCACTCTCGAATGTCCAGCGAGTAGGACCAGAGCGTCACCTGAGGAGGATCTCAGAGCTAGCTCTGTGATATCCACGTCTGTGGACCATTCTCTGAAAGTGTGGGTTATGCACTTCTCTGTGAGATTTCCGTCGGGAGGCTTTGACTTATGACGTGACGCTTATAGGACAATCTCTATACAATTTGGGAAATTAAAAAATGTTTATTTGCAGTTAGATGGTATTCATAATTAATTAAAAATACATACACACATTTAGATCTTAACCACGGTGTATGCAGTACAATCAAATTGTATATATCTTCCATCGGAATGAAATGCAATCCAATTAATACAACAGTGATTGTGTAACGTTATTCACTTGACATTATTTACGTAATTGCGTAACGTTATTCACGTTACATAATTAACGTTATTCAAGTTACACAAAGTGCTTGCCACAAATTAACCACAATACATACTCTTTGGTTCTTTCGGTAAAATCACGTAGGTAAAAAAATAAAAAAAAATTGAATCACGACGTTTCGGACACAACACAAGCGTCCGTCATCAGGTGGGACAACCACAGCAAAAAGCAGTTGCTGAAGTAGGCACAATACCACAATAGTAACCACAATACCTTGCTGATCTCGTCAAGGAATATTCACCACCACGCAAACTCCGGTCATCCTCTCAGCAGCTTTTGGATAGCCATCGAACATTGATGGTCACTGCATTGTGCACTTTCAGATGCGCTTCAGCGGCCGTCTGGAACACTCTTCCTTGCGATATGCGATATGCACTTTTAAATCCGGATTGAAAACTAATTTCTTTAGAACTGCGTTTTGTATTTAGTTTGTTGTCCTTGCCCCGTACTTTTAATTGGCTCTGTTGGCTACGTACAGTACGAAATAGTTTCAAGATACAGTCACAAATCGCGAGTGAAGGGCAACGGCACGGTGAGAGAATCGGCAGACGGCAGAGTTGACGCGAAGGCCGCTCTGACCAGGGAGGACTGCGGTCAGCGTTTGGTGGATGCGCCTTCTGCTGTAGCCTCACACTGCACACTTTGGTGGTGCACCTCACCGTAGGGCGAGCGATCCTTGTACTGCAACTGTAACCCGTGTAGCAAACGTTGCTGATTCACAGTCGCCCAGATGCAGTCGTTGGCTTTGCGTTACCCGTCACGATTGGACGCCACATGAAGGGGAGCCGCGGTGGCGAGATGTTAACTACCTCGCCTGGTATGCAAAAGGTCGTCGGTTCGATCCCGACCCTGACGCCTGCTATATATTTCGAGTTTGCATGTTATCCCCGTGGTGACATGGATTTTTCTCCAGGTCCTCCGATGTTTCCCTTCACTTTTCGAAACATGCGTTTAGAGTATTTGGCTGTTAAAGTATTAAAGCTTTCGTGACTGCATAAAATTACTCATTGGTTTTTTCGGTAAAGTCACGTATGTAGAAATACAATAAAATTATATTTTTAAAAACAATCACGATGTTTCAATCACAACGCCAGCGATCTTCATCAGGTGTCAAGAACAAATCACGGAGGTAAATACAACAAAAAGATGAGAGAAGAGAATTCAACAAACCTGAAAAAACATTATGTCAAGCACATCCAGTCAGGCCAACAACACAGTTAGACACTTCATGGCAGACCACGAATTTCAGAAGAGTGTTAAATTTCGTGTTCAACCTTTGGATTGCACATACCAGCATAGATATAATGAAAAATGCGAGATACACGGTCAGTAGAAATACATATACAAGTCCACCAAGAGGTAAGGAGGGAGGAAAGACGGACAGGGAGGCAGAGAGAGAGGGGGGGGGGCAGAGGGATGAACAGAAGCTTAAATAGGAAATACGGTTGGAGGGGGGGAGGGGCCAGAGCGAGAGCGGCAGCTCAAACACGCACATCTTACACATACAAAACGGCAGCTCAAAAAGGACCACCTCTTGTAAATACAAAACGGCAGCTCAAAAAATGACCACCTCTTGTAAATACAAAACGGCAGCTCAAAAAAGGGCACATCTTACACATAATTACAACGGTAACTTCCCCGTAGAAGTGTGATAATAAAGTATTAAAGCTTTCGTGACTGCATAAAATTACTCATTGTTTTTTTCGGTAAAGTCATGTATGTAGAAATACAATAAAATTTTATTTAAAAAAAACAATCACGACGTTTCGATCACAACGCAAGCGATCATCAACAGGTATCAAGAACAAATCACGGAGGTTTAATATAATTTTATTGTATTTCTACATATGTGACTTTACCGAAAAAAACAATGAGTAATTTTATGCAGTCACGAAAGCTTTAATACTTTATTATCACACTTCTACGGGGAAGTTACCGTTGTAATTATGTGTAAGATGTGCCCTTTTTGAGCTGCCATTTTGTATGTGTAAGATGTGCGTGTTTGAACTGCCGCTCTCGCTCTGGCCCCTCCCCCCCTCCAACCGTATTTCCTATTTAAGCTTCTGTTCATCCATCCGCCCCCCGCCCCTCTCTCTGCCTCCCTGTCCGTCTTTCCTCCCTCCTTACCTCTTGGTGGACTTGTATATGTATTTCTACTGACCGTGTACCTCGTATTTTTTCATTCTATCTATGCTGGTATGTGCAATCCAAAGGTTGAACACGAAATTTAACACTCTTCTGAAATTCGTGGTCCGCCAGGAAGTGTCTAACTGTGTTGTTGGCCTGACTGGATGTGCTTGACATAATGTTTTTTCAGGTTTGTTGAATTCTCGTCTCTCATCTTTTTGTTGTATTTACCTCCGTGATTTGTTCTTGACACCTGATGAAGATCACTTGCGTTGTGATAGAAACATCGTGACTGTTTTTTTATATATATAATTTTATTGTATTTCTACATACGTGACTTTACCGAAAAAACCAATGAGTATTTGGCTGTTGTAAATTTCCACATGATAAGGCACTTCATTGGGCTGTTATTTGTGGCCAGGTCGCTTCTGAAAAAGAGCTATAGAGCTCAGGGGGCCTTACCTGGTAAAATATTTATATTAGTATTAAGAAGCTCGTTTCATGAATGTGTGCAGGCTGCCTGCCTGCTTAGTGGCAATTTTCCCAAGAAACTAACTCTTATTTGTCGAAAAGACTCACTTCTCATATCCCATGTCTTTCTGTAGTTGTGCTTTACTAACATTTATAACATCACACAAGTACAATTCTGCATACGTCTACTATTAAATTACATTGTGGTGTTAAGGATCATTACTAATAGTTATGCTCAAACTTTACATGAGTTTCTGATTCGAAAAACCCTATCTGACCAAATCTGGATGTTTATTGCTCGAGTTTACAAACCATAAAAATTAAACAAATAAGAATGTGCACTCATTTATTATATTGCTGATTTAAGAGGGTCGTCATGAAGCTGCGCCACCCCTCCTGTCCTCACCCACCCCTGCTGTGCACAACCCCCACCACCAGGTAAATGAGCCTGACCCTGAGTCCTGAGAGTCAGGGCCAAAACAGACAGAGTTGGGGCATAAATCAGAAGGGGCGGGTTCTAAAAGGGAAAGACACGTGTTCTATAAAGTCGAAATAGTAAGGGGTGGGGCCTAATTGGGAAGAGGTGGGGCCTTAGAAGTAATAAACAGGAAGGAGGTGGCCCTAAAGAGGAAGGTGCAGGGCCTACAGAGGATGAATATCCCTTTTGGTTTAAAGCAGGGGTCGTAAACCAAAATAACAATAAGAGACTGAATATATTATGAGCAACAACGCATGTGAATAATGTGGCAAAGCAGTCCTTAAAGAGCCGCATGCGACCCCGGAGCCGCAGGTTGTCGACCCCTCGTTTAAGGTAATAAAGGCTTAAAAACAAATACGTACAGCAGGCAGAATGTATTTAGTGCTGCAGATGCGAGTTTATTTACGTTATGATAATTCGACTAACAACCGTGAGTAAGAATTGCAACTGCACGTGCGACTACTGAGGGGTGGCCTTGGTGTGGCTCAGGTGCAATGTTACTTTTCGTATTCAAGAGTGGGATTGGAACCCAGGAGCAGGAATCTCAGAGTATTGTCCTGACTACTAATTGATCAATCTAAACAGTTTTCGTTGAAACCTTCTGCTGCCAGGCCACCAAGATTATACGGCTTACCAAAAATACATAAAGTAGATACATCCCTTCGTCCCATCGTCTCTACTATCAACTCCCCCACCTACAAACTGGCTCGTTTTTTGTCTGAAATCCTGCGTCCTTTCACTGGAAAAACCACCTCTGTGGTACAAAATTCTACTCACCTGGTATCGACAATCAAGGGTATTTCCTTGTCCCCAGACGACCTGCTTGTCAGTTTTGATGTAGTTTCCTTATTCACCAAGGTTCCTGTACCTGACACCATCGCAATCATTGAAGACTTGGTTCATCAAGGACTAAACACTGAGGTACCCCCCCTGGTGAGACACTGTTTAACCAATGCATACTTCACTTGGAATGGAACTTTCTACAAACAAACTGAGGGCACCCCAATGGGCTCCCACCTATCTCCGGTTATAGCTAACATTTTCATTTTCACTCTGCGCCCAACCTTATGGAAGAGGTACGTGGATGACACTTTCGTCATCTGGCCACATGGCCGGCCTGACCAATTCATCGACCACATCAATTCCATACACCCAGCCATCAGATTTACCATGGAAGTCGAAAAAGATGGCAAGCTACCTTTTTTGGATGTCCTAATAAAAAAGAGACCTGATGGTTCAATGAGCCACTCTGTCTACAGGAAAGCTACCCATACGGATGCTTATCTGAAACCGGATTCCCACCACCATCCATCACAGAAGAATTATCTCATCAAGACTCTGTACCATAGA